TTCATGGATATTAATTGATTGTGCTCTCACACTTATGCTCACTATATGTGACATTTATTCAAAAATCAAGGTAATATTTTCAAATTTGAGCAACTAAACTTCAATTCTGGTCAAGGAAGGTGATCCTGCCCCTCTGCTCTGCATTGGTGAGACCTCACGTCAAGTGATGTGTCCAGATGGGGAGTCCTCAGTACAAGAGAGACACAGATCTTTTTGAGTTTGTTCAGAGAAAGGCCACAAAAATGATCCAATGGTTGGAACTCCCTGAAGAGGACAGGCTGAAAGAGCTGAGGCTGTTCAGCCTGGAGAAGACAAGGCAAGGCTCGTTGGGAGACCTGATAGCAGCCTTTCAGTATCTAAAGGGGGACTGTAAGAAAGAAGAGGACAGACTCTTTAATGGGGTCTGTGGTGATAGGACAAGAGGAAATGGTCTCAAACTGAAAGAGGCGAGATTTTGTTTGGATATAAGGAAGAAGCTTTTACGATAAGAGTAGTGAAGTATGGGAACAGGTTTCCCATAGATGTGGTGGGAAGGTCCATTTTTGGAGAATACTCATGGTTAGGCTAGACCAGGTTCTGAGCAGCCTGATTGAGCTGTACGTGTCCCATTCATTGCAGGGGAGTTAGACTAGAAATATAAGGTTGTGCCAATTTGAAAAGCTTTACAGCAGATTGAGAATAAGGCTGAAGAATAATCATTTTGCTGAATATTTTATACGTTCTAATTCCAGTTAAAACAAATACATTGCATGGATAGTCTATTTTTAAACAGAAATATTTTGTAATTTACTTTTATATATTTAGATTCTCTTTAGAGTTGGCACTGAGTCCATATTACCTAGCATATGTACACCTGCTTGGTATAGCAAATTAAAAAATATCCTGTTTTCAAAATTGAAATAAGAATCACTTTTGGATAACTAATATTTTTTCTTCTTTTCTATTGAATGTACAAAGTTCCCATTTTATATTAAAAATAAATAAATAAATAAATAAATACTTCTTTCAAATACTTCAATTTACGAGCCAGTAGATTGGTTGCAGTTATTTTCCTAAAATCAAATGGCTTCTATTGGGAACAATAGAATTGTTTTCTCTCAAGAAACAAAAATCTATTCTCCTAATATTCTTTTCACATTTTTAGATACTATTTTACTGGTTTTTTTCTATTTTATTATCCTTCTCACAGTATTATCTCTTCTAATATTTTGATAAATATTATCCAGATTACACAGGATGCTATAAATGGTAGAAAATCTAACCTTAAGTCAAACCTTCTATCAAAGTTGGAAATGTGCACTATGAAGACTCTGTGACCCTAATTTCTCATTTGTGTACACCATACAGAAGTTTCAAAATGAGTCGCAAATATTGCCTTTGATATTTTATTCAACCAGCTTTACATGTCCCTTGGACTGGGAAAAAAAAACAAAACAAAACTGGGAACTAAGAACACCTGTAAGAAATCTGGATGCCAGCAATGGGAGAATGATGAATTACGCATGACTAAAAATACAGCTCTGTAAAGTTGGAGTAATTTGTAAATACTTGAAAGCTCTCTATTAAAAATGTTTATATTTTTAGAAAGTTTATATTGATTCTTAAATATACCCAATTTTAAAATGCTGAAGATGTATCAAAGAAGATTCATTTTGAAGAACAAAAATAAGCCGTTATTCATTATGCCCTGTATGTCTACTTCTTTAGACATAAGGAAGAACTATTTCTCACAGAGAATGGTCAGGCACTGGAATGGCTGCCCAGAGAGGTGGTGGAGTCGCCGTCCCTGGCAGTGTTCAAGAGGCGTCTGGATGACGTGCTGCGTGATGTGGTTTAGTACTAGTGGTGGCAATGGTGATGAGGAGACGGTTGGACTAGATGATCTTTTAGGTCATTTCCAACCTTGTGATTCTATGATTCTATGATTCTTTTCATAGAGAGTAAGGAATTGGCTACCAGTATGCTGTACTATTGCACTTGATGCTTTCATCAGAAATAATTCAGTGGGAAAATATTCTCAATAGCAGAAAATCTCTGAAACATCAAAATGATCTGGAGGTGGGGAGAGGAGATGAATAAGAAAACAGGAAGAGATATTTATTGTAATAAACTCTGAAACTAAAATTTGTAAGGAGCATTTTGAGGAATTTAATTATATTTTCAGTGAAGTTAATAGTTGAAAATTTTATTCTGCTTTACTTTTCACACTGTAAAATCAGAGGGATTACCTGAGAGCTAAGTATCATGCTTAGACAATGAGACAGCCTGGCTTTTTCCTGCACCTGCAATACCATTTAGCACATGGCAGACTATTACAAGCAATTTTAACACTTGCATATAAGGAAGGGATTTGAAATGAACATACGACCAAGTATTTAAGTTAAATATAATTTTGACTTTAAATGTATTCCCTGTCAATTCACAGATAGAAACATCGTTGTTTTAAAAAGTGTAAACACAATGGCAAGGAAAACTTAAACTCTCATCAAAAGCATCTCCATACATTCTTCTTAGGAAAAAGTCCAGAAGAAAAGATATAGACATAAAAGCAAAACAAAACAAAAAAAACCTAAGAGCCAAATTTGGAGAATAAAATTAAATTGAAAATAAAAATAAGATTGAGGATAAACGAAAGATAAAAATGATCAAAGCAGAGAGAGAAAAAAATAATACCTGTCAGACTTCAATTATAAAAATTAGTTTTTGAAGGTTAGTATTAGAGCAAGTATATTTGTATTGTATATGAATATAATCAAAAGGAATTTGTGGAAATAGAATTAAAATTATTTTTTAAAATTTATTAGGTATCTGTATAGGAGAACTGCATATTAATGTCAGATTTAATTGCAATTAAATTTCTAATTCATGGTTTGGTCTCAAAAGCTTATTATTTCGTGAAGCAAAATTTGTTGAGTCGTAACATCTGTTGCTAAACAAGGTGTTACAGTGATAGAAAAATAAATGTTTGTTTGCAGAAGAAATACTGTAATTGCAGTTCAAACACAGATTTAAAAAACAACAAAAAAAAAAACAATATTAAATGTTTTGCAGATGATTTCTTATTAGTAGACAAAAGAATTAAAATGGCATACTTAGGCTTCAGAACTGATGTTCACTTTGTGCCAGGAAGCGAAGATCTCCATGCATGCTAATGCTCTTAAAAAGATTAGATACATCTTCATTTCTGTATAAAGCTGGAGACACTATATCTTTTTCCAGCTCAGCTGGTTTGTACTAGGAAAGCTCTTCTAATTGTCACGAGAATTCCTTATCAAAATTAATTACTAGTGACAGAGTACAGTAGCATTACAGTGCTTTGACCAAGAAGGAACTGGGGCTCTTAAGTCTGGGGAAAAGGAGACTGAGGGGAGACCTTAATGCTCTCTTCCAATATCTGAAAAGTGCTTACATCAAGAGTGGGGTTGGTCTCTTCTCACTGGTGACAGGTGACAAGACAAGCAGAAATGGCCTTATGTTGCACCAAAGTAAGCTTTGGCTGCATATTAGGAAACACTTCTTTACAGAAATGGTTGTTAAGCACTGGAATAGGGAGTTGATTGAGTCAACATCCCGGGATGTGTTTAAAAACCGTTTGGATGTGGTGCTCAGGGACATGATTTAGCGGAGGGTTGTTAGAATTACAGTGGTATGGTTAGGTTGTGGTTGGACTCAATGATCTTAAGGTCTTTTCCAACCTGAGTGATTCTATGATTCTATGATTCTATAGAAAATTTCAATGTTGAATATACTGTCAAGTCAAAAGTGGAGTGTACCACTGCTGCTAGAGATGATCTAATATAATATGTGCTTAACAGGAAGCACATATTATATTAGTGTAGAAATTATTTGATAAAATAGTCTAATTTTGCCTAATTCCACTTGCATATATTCTCAGTTCCCTACTTGTAGAAGTGGAAAGTAATAAATTGGTCAAACTAATCAGGCAGCATTGTGTAGGTATGAATGCCAGAAAGAAATAAAATATAGGGGCTTTTTTTTTTTTTTTTAATCCCTTTTGAAATGTCATTGGATCTGTCAGTTCAAATGAGAAGAGGCTCTATAGAGGCTCTTCTGGTAACGGTTTACCTTTTACCTGAGGTAATGAAGAAATGGTATCTATTTTCCATCCATTTATGAGCTTTTGATATAGAGAAGGTGCATTGAACAACATGATTAGAGCTCGCATGCATAAAGTGAATATAAAATTAAGAAAGAATTAGGACATTGTCCTTTTGACTCCCATATTTGCAACAAGACCCCATTGTAGCCAAAGGCTTCCTTTGTGTATTATTAGATTGAATACTCAGGTTTTTCCCTCATAGATTCTAAGATGCAAGGAGGTACAATCTAAACAATAATATAATCTTGGATGTTTAGTTAGTTTGTTTTTCTTCCTACTGTACAGCAAGAGCTTAATCATTACAAATTAAAATTGAATATCCAGACTTTTCTTTTTCTGCACTTCAGTAAGATCTAATTGTCTTCCTTAAAATAACTACCTGTCTAGACGGGAAAGCCATAACCAATTTGAAGAAAAGACCTCAATAGAAAAATTGTATTATCTACTTTTCTCTCAAAAAACAAACAAGCAAACAAGAGTTTGAAAGTCATTAAATATACTTCTATGTTTCCACTGTTAAAACTCTTAAAGCTGTGAAAGCCACTCTTGAATTCTTTTCTGATTCTTATGTAGAGCTGTCCCTTGATGCTTTTAATTATCCAGTTCTCTAGAACACATTTGAGAGAACAGTACAGAATATATTATTGAATGCTTACATATTTATGCCTACAGCAATCTAATTTTTTTTCTTGTTCACGGAATGAATAATTTTTATGATTTTATTTGGTATAAATCCTCTATATTTCTCACTCATGCTTCTTCAAATTTGTGATCAACACAGTATTGATTGCGTAAATCCATGTTCATGTGAAGTTGTTCTTGTCTTGATAGAAAAATAATCATTTCACAGTCAGTAAAATCCTAAGCAGTGCTGACAAAGTCATGGTTGCTTGATGACTACAACACAGGCACCAGCTCTTCCGATATTTAAGGAAGCCATCTGCATTAAAACAAAACAAAACAAAAAATAATAAAAAACAAACAAACAAACAAACAAACAAAAAAACAACAACAAAACTGAATAGTCTAGTCATGCAAGAGTGAGCCAAAGTTTTTTGTCAGTATTAATATAAAATATTTTAAACAAATGGGATTAAATACCCACAATGTGCTAGTACTGTAGTTTTAAATTACTTAATCGTATATTGTATCTTTTGCTTGAAAATGTGTGTGTGTGTGTGGGGGGGAAAGCACTATTATGACATTTTGTTTACAACAAAATCACCAATTGCAACCACTTTGCACTATGAAAATGCTTCTATTCTTATACAGTTCAGTACTAGGTGCATACATATATTTCAACATTTCAAAATATCCATCAAAAAAAGGCAAATGAAATTGAAAAATGAAATGAAAACTTAGCTCCCTACATACAGTAAACACAGTATTTTCACATGAAACATCTTCAAAACATGCCTGTCAGCAATTAAAATTCTGGATTCATTTTAACAATTTTTGTAACATTACTTCTGCACAAAAAACAGGTGGAATATATATTAGCTAGTTTTACCTGAATGGTAAAAGATTACATTTCTAATGAGTGTTTATTCTCTCTTCTACTGGTTTCTTAGTTCTTTTTCCTACCTAAAGAGGAATCTTTTAACATAATAACTGAAAAAAAAAAAAAAAAAATTAAGAATACTTCCACAGCCATTGTGATCTAAGATACCAAAATATTTTTTCATAAAAGAAGTGGTTTGGGTTTTTTTTGGTTTTGTTTTGTTTTTGAGAAAATATCAAAATGCATGAGAAAAAATACAGACTATAAAAAGTACCTGTGTCCATTCATTAGTTTGAGGGTCATAGGCTTCCATAGTGTTCAAGTATGTTTGCCCATCGTATCCACCTACTGCATACAACCTGTCACCAAGGAGACAGACACCAACAGCATCTCGAGGCATACTCAGTGGAGCCACCATTGTCCATGTGTCAGTTTTTGGATCATACCTAATGAAGGGAAATTGAATGCACAGTGAGAAGCAAAGTGTTGTTTCATGCTGATCTTCATGGGAAATACAGCCATTTTGCAGAAAAACAAAAAATCCATGAGCACCTTATCAAAAATATTTCTGTAACAGCAGAAAGAAAAGATTACTGTATTCCCAATTCATGTATTTTAATGTTGATTTGAAACTTTCAGTTAACTATTTGAAAAAAAAAATAAATAAATAAAGAATCCTAAACTATTTATGGTATAAGGTGTCATAACATAGCTCTGAGTAGAAGAGCAATATCTTAATGTATATATTTATGTGTAAATTTGAAATAAATCATTATATTTTTGTAGAATATTAAAGTATTTTTGCAATAATTATATTCTACTGTGCTAATATAAAATGCTCATAGCCAGAAAACCTCCCCAGGAATTCATGTTTTTAACTTCATTTCAGTTAGAATCTCTCTACAAGTGAAGAAAATAGTACAGTTTTAAAGACAACCATCACAGAATTTCTAAAACTGAGAGCAGAATTACATAATAATAGACAATCAAAAATTAAATATTTAATTTATGCTATTAACTTAGATATTCATTAACAGTGTAACATCAGTTAATACCAGAGGCCATTTCAGTATATTTAGCATCTACTATAAAGCTGAAATCAATCCATTGATATTGCCTCTCAGTGAGTTACTAAGGCAGCCTGGAGTATTAGGTTAAACTCATTTTTAGGTGATGGATATTTCATTCAGATAACAAAGTAGATTTTTACATCAGAGTATGATAGAAATACTTTTTTTTTCCGTCTATAATATGTAGTAGAATCACTTTTCAATCAGTTGAGAGAAATGAACAGTTTAATGATGAAATGTCTTGGGCAGACTTCAGTCATTTGATGTGTAAGGTAGCTCAGACTTTGGAAATGATGGTCTAAATTAACTAAAAAGGAACTCTGTGATGGCTAAAGTTCTCCATCGTTATATAATATCATTACATTATTATTGCTACTGAGATCCTCCCCTTATGGATAGAATGTGACACTACCTTACCAAAGGAAAATATCCCTCGCTTCACATTCACATCTTACTGATGTCATTGCTTTTCGGCAATAGGTACATTTGTGAACAACTGTTTTCAAGGATGAAGCCCAAGAAGAATAAAATTTCATTAAAAAATCTCTTGACAAACACCTTCAGAATTCATGAAGAACTACAACCACTTCCACTGAGCCAGACCAATGCATTACTTTCACAAAAACCAAGTCCCACTAGATTCCACTAGTTATATGTTTGGTTTTTTTTGTTCTCTTTTTTTAATGTTTCAATAAAAAGTATTTTAAAATGAAATAAGTTTTGTTAGTTACATACATTGACTATATTATATATTTTATCTGCAGCCCAAGACAATTCCTCTTCACAAAATGTGGCCCAGGCAAGCCAAAAGATTGGACACCCAAAAGCTAAACAAAATGCTTAAAACTTTATCAGCGGGATAGAATTGCAAAATAATTTGGTCAAGGTGTTTTTGTTTGTTCATTTTGTAATCGTCCAAAAAAGTCTGAGTTTTCTAATATTTTTTCTTTTGCTAAAAACAACTGTACCTTTTGGTTTCACAATAATTGTATATACCCTAAACTGAGAAGGTTTACAGTAAAGTTCATTAATGTGGGAAAAAAATGAATTTGAAATCAAGGTGAGAAAGGAAAAAAAAATCTATAAATAACTTGTTTAACTTGTCAATAGATATTGCATCCAGAGCAAGCAGCATTCTTTTTCAAGTATTGCTTCACTGCCACAATATCTCCAAATTTTATAATTCTTAAGAAGAGGTTACTCAGTGTCATAAGAAATCCTTTAAAATTGCATCAACATAAAAAACTGGGAAACAAACTAGATGTCTTAACTGGTATCGAGCAGGATTTAACAGCAGCATTCAAAAAACACAAATATGTCGTCACTAGATTTAAGTAATGTCGAAAATATTTTTACAGAAGGTAAAACTTTCAGGGATATATGAGATAATATGATAAATCATATAATAAACACTTATTAGACTTTGGCATCCTAAGTCATTGGAAATATTTTCTGGAAGGAGCGTGAATTTTCAAATGTAAAAGTAGATGCATTGAAGCCATATTATACACCTGTCAGTTATTGGCAGTGCTTTGAGATACTGCCCATTTTCTCATGGAGACTTTCATTCAGCTCACATCTACTCAATGCAAACTAATATTCTTCCAAGTTCTGACTTCTTAGTTTTAATTTTTACACTGGAAGATAGCTGCCCATAAAGCACATTATTCATATCAGTGCAAAAATACCTAGACAAAGAACACTGTATAACGCAATTCATACACCAAATAGGTAAAGTATGTGTGGTTAACTCATTGCTATTACACTCTCTGAAAAAATCACATGTAATGGGAAAGGATTTATTTTTGAAGAATTTTCTTGTCAAAATCGGAAGGAAAAAAAAAAAAAAAAAAAAAAAAAGCTTCCTTATAAGTACGAATAAGGAGAGGAAGTAGTGAAGATATTGTCACCAGTTGCTGTTAGAAGTTGGACTCCGTGATCCTTGTGGGTCACTTCTTTATGATTATGATTTTAGTACTAATACAAATTTATTTCATGAAAAAAACTGGGTATTGTTATTTATAGATAGATAACCATCAAGATTAAGATGATATAGACCTGGGATTTCTCTGATCAACTTTCCATCCGTTGGAGATAAGGAAAACATAAGTATTTTGCACATGGGATAAAGTCTAAGCATGAGGAAAATCATATGGAATAAGTTTCAAATTAGAAATTCAGGATTCAGGATTACTTGTTGAATAACTAGTAAACTCAAATATATATAAAAAAAAAAGACAAAAAATGACATTTAATACATTTTTAAACACTTAATGGAAAAAAATCTCTTTCCTGGTACCTGTCTATACCTATTCCATGCTTAAATTAAACAATTGATCAAATATATCTGCTTTAAACTTTGCTACCTGTATATGTATGGTAAACGTATTTTACTGTATTCTTCTTCAAAACATTCAAAACCAGAAATTTAAAAAAGAGAAAAAAAAAGAAGTCAAACCCGAGCGGAACATCTGAAAAGTACCTTCAAAATGAGTGGCACTGCCCTACTGGATAATCTTGAATTTGCAGAATACCAGCTTGTGAAATACAGGGTACTGCAAATATAATGTGTAAAGCTGATACCCATGTAGGGGAAGTGATAGTGCTGTTAAATATCTGTTATATCCTCCTTCTCTGCTACATCTTTAGTTACATTATTATGTTATACAGTTATTTCAGGCCAGAGTTTTTATCTCCTCAAAGTTTATTAATGTCTCTGCAATGTGTAATGTCTTGATTCAGAAACAAAGATTTATTAAATGTTAAGTGAAAAGAGGTAAGTTTTGTGTCGAATTTAAAATTTAACAGCACTGTGAGAGAAAAAAAGGAAAAGAAAATAATCTCCAAAACTATTCTGTTGGAAGCTTCTAAGAATTTTTTTACAGGAAAAAGGAAGTCAGTATGTCTTAGGGAAAGAAAAAAAAAGTCTGCTGTAAATTTCACCATTATATAAGTAAGAAAATGATGCTTCCAGACAATATATTTTAAAAATGTATGTAGTAGATACCTTTCTACATAGTCCAGTAGTCGTGAGCAGTGGTTAGAAGCAGGAGCATCATGACCTCCAACTGCATAAAGAAAGCCATCACATGTAGCCACTCCTACACCTCCTCTTCTCTTACACATTGGAGCACACATATTCCATTTATTTGTATGAGGATCATAATATTCCATTGAACTCAAACATGAGCTTCCATCTCGACCTCCAACTGAATATAATCTAAGAAAATGCACAATAAAATATTAATTAAAAAAAACAGTTTAGAACTGTAGAAATAAAGGATTTTTTTGTTGTTGCTGTTTGGTTGTGGGTTTTTTTGTTTCTTTGTTAGTGTATTTTAAGCTGACTTTAACAAATGGGAGGAAAACAAAATATGCTTTCTCAAAATCATATGAATTTCATCTGATCAGTAAACATAGATGATTTTAATATTATTACTAAATCCAAATTCTACTTGTATTTTGCACAGATCCATAGGAATTAAGATATTTTCATTCTGGAAATGGTTATCTTTGTTCTTTGATTATAGCACATACTGCCAAAAGCCACTGTGATACACAGATTTTTCTCTATGAATTTATAAATCACATGAGCAGGGCTGGTACTCAGTTGTTCACCAGAATATACTATGAGGATTCAGCTCTGTACGGAAATCTTGGAAAATTTCAGAAAACATTTTAAATATGAAATGGCAAAATGTGGCTTAAAAGACCAGTTTCTTTGTTACTACCTGCAGGCAAGATTCTTGTTTCCTCCCATTTTTTGTAAAGCTTCCCAGGAGGAAACAGTTCTGATAACTATCTATAGTCATGCTGCATCCGTGTCTTATATGAATCCTTTTGCAGTCTACTGCCTTCCATACAGTGCTTGAAGAATTACTAATCAACTATTTGAAAGTCCAACCACTGAGTAATTTAGGATGCAAAAGCTGTCTGTGGGATGTAGTTATTCATTTGGAAGCTTTTACTGTCCTAACAGTCCATGAATTCAGAGCTACTTAAATGTGCATTCACCATTATATTTCCTTGGCCTGGATTCTGATGGATAAAGAAAATGTAATACCACCACTAAATACGTCACAGAAGTTGTGAGATATTTTGGTACTGCCTGACAGATATACTTCTATTTGCTAAAGTTTCAAGTAGAGAGAAATATAAGGGAAAAGATATTTAAGCTTCTGAGTATCCAGACTTACTGGATATCCAGAGATATTTACCTTTGTACACAATTATCATGTATCCACACGTGGGACAAATCCACAATTAAGACTGCTACATATTAGGGTTAATCTGTCAATATTTGCATTTTTTAAACTGCTTTATGTTCAAGGTGGCAAGCAGAGCCTAAAGTTCAGTTGGCCAGCTACTACTGTACTGTTCCTCTATCAGAGAAAAAGAGCTCAAGAACAGCACTAAAAGGACATGTTAGCAATTGATCCAAATCCATTTACATGAAAATAAATCTAACTATCTGCAAGGATGTTACTGTTATTTGCAGAGAAGATCTGGGACTTGGTTCAGTTGCACGCAGACAGTGATCAAACGCTGATTACTGTATTTAGAAGAAAAAAGCATGCCCTACAAGAGAAGACTGCCAGAGTTCACGAGTCAGTTCAAATGGCAGTAGATAGTTTAATATAAATAAAAATTAAATTAAAAATTCCTAAAAATAAAATTAATTCCTAAAAGTGGTGACAGTGGTATACAGGCCTGAGATAGAATTCTAAGTAAATGTTTGGACAAATAAACACTTCACATGGTTTTAAAAAATGCAAAGTACTAAAACTTCTGCAGGGCTCAGTGAGAACCATCATGTGTTCCCCTAATCTAACTGGCAGAAGGAATAACTATCACTTCTGGCATGAAAGTTCACTGTGAAGCACTGTTTTCCATTTGCCTACTTTCCCATCATTCTAGGTTTTGATTGTGTTTATATCTAAGTAATAGACCAGGATTTTGCTTCCCCATGTTGGCTCCTTCACCAGCTCTATCAGGAAGTTATCACCCACACACTCTAGGAACCTCTGGGACTGTTCTTTCCTGCTGTATTATAATTCCAGCAGATATCTGGGAAGTTGAAGTCCCCCACAAGAACAAGGGGGAGAGATCTCAAGACTTCACACAACTGCCTATAACATGTCTTATCCACTTCTACATCCAACAGGTGACAGGACAAAGGGAAATGGCCTCATGCTACACCAGCGAAGTTCTAGATTGGATATCAGGAAAAACGTCTTTACAGAAAGAAGTTATTAAGCACTGAAATCCATGTGTTTAAAAACCTTTTGGATGTAGTGCTCAAGGACATGATTTAGCAGAGGGTTGCTTGAGTTAGGGTAGTATGGTTAGATTGTGGTTGGACTTGGTGATCTTGAAGGTCTTTTCCAACCTGAACAATTCTATGATTCATTAGATTAGCAGTACAATTTTATTTCATAAGGGTCAATTTCAGACAAATACAATTTGAAACTGAATTGTTTTAAAACACTGTAGCTGAGCCTGGATGCTTCAGTAAGGAAACGTTTCCACTCTTCTGCTAAATTCTGTAATCCACAGTTACTCACTCTAGCCCAAAGTAACTAGGTAACAACAGCACTGCAAACAGTGCTGAATGTCCAGGATACTGCACAACTAACTGAAGTTTTTGAGATACTCATATCTCAAGAAATTTAGAACTCTCTTTATTGCTCAGTCATATTTAATTAGATGACTTTGAATGAATAATTTTTTGTAATTTTACCCTTCTTGGTAACAGTTCAGACATAAAAATTTCTGCATGGAAAAGTATAATTGATTTCTCTAAAAATGTGTGATAATCTGTCATTACTGTGATAAGATTTAAGCCCTGCAACTGCAAGGGCTACTCTTATGTCTCTCAGTTAACAGATACCACATCTGATCTGACTGATTTGTTGAATACACTTGTAAGTAGATTTTCATTTTCATGTGCATACGCCTTTAGAATTCAGACACTGAAGACAATTAAGTGACTGAATTTAACAAATTAGTGTTTGTCTTTTTTTTATTATTCATTTTTTATTTTACACTGTTAATTCACAATACTATCTTAGTAACTTTACCTTACCTAAGTGCTCTGTACTACTTCTACCTGCTCTTTTACTGTACATATACCACTGGGATACAATGTGTACAATCCACAAAAAGTCTAAATTCACAAAAAGTCTAAATTCACAATAAAGGCATCTTTCCTATTTCTCCCAGATAACTGGTATCTGTAGACTTCTTGCAGATGTCTAACTTTTGCACATGGTAACTTCTGAGTGCCTACAATATTTTAAGACTTTATTTTCAACATTGCACAATTAAGAAGAACACTTCAGAAGGAAGCACAGGGATAATAATCACATAGTAAGCATATCTTCATTTCACTTTTGAGTTGGGAATATTCTGTTTACTGAACTGTATCTCATTCTATGGAGGTGAATCCTATTAAAACTGTTTGAATTTCTTTTATAATCATCTCTGTTTAAAAGGAAAGGTCAGCAAGGAGAAAAAAAAAAAAAAAAAAGCATTAATTACTGAGTACTTTATCTCCATGGTTCACAATGAAAGTTTTGCCTCTGGAGATGTTACAGATTTCTATTCCTCAACAGCCTAAATTTCAATTTATTCAGATACTGTGAGTGGATATGAATTTAGCCTCCTCTGAACTGGAAGTTTTTTGTTTGTTTGTTTGTTTTGTTTTTTTCAGGATTTGGTGAGTTCTTTTTACATTAAGATAGGCATAGATTCCTAAACGTATATATATATGTGCATATACCATACACACACTTAGGTCACACCAAAAGTAATGCCTCCTATTTATTTATATGGAAACAACATACACAAAGAATACAAGAACACCATTTGAGAGAGCAAACTCTCAGCTACAAAAAACCTTTTTTCAGCAAAGTAGGAGAAAGGAGAAATCATGACTAGTTGGATCAAAAGCATTTATCTCAGTGCTATGATTACAAACCTTTGATACCTAATCAGAAAAGACATTTTTAAATTCAGTTTGACAAACCAACCTCAAAAGAACAGAGTGCCTTTGATGTGAGTTGCTATAGCTTGTGAAAACAGTTGAATCATGTCTTTCCGGCATTTCTTAATGAGGTTCGCCTTTCAAAATTCTTTCACCAAAAATATCAAAGACCTTGTCTGGTCTTTTGTTTAGGCCCCTTTGTGGCCTTTTCTACCTTTCAGTATGCCTGAAAGAGCAACAGAGGAATACTTTGTCAGAAAGGAAATCTGATGGGTGGAAACAAGGGGAAGGTTGGAATTTTCATCAGTGCTAGCAATCCACATCTGACCAAGGAGACTGTGCAGATGAAATCTCTCTATCCGCACTGCCTTGGTTAGGTCAGTTGTTCACTGTGGCAAAAGTTGAATATGACAATTTTCTGAATGGAAAGCATTAATGAATACATTTCTATCTGTAAATTTGGAATGGTACTTCATGTATTTGGTAACACAGGAGTGGGATACATTAGGAATAAATACAGCTTGTTAAAGAAAAAATGAAAAAAAGTCATAGAATAAGTGCCAACAATTAAGAACTATTAACTACCAGAATTTGAAAAGACTCTGAGAGTAACACCTTTATATGAACAATATCATTATGGCAAAACTCTACTTCCTACACTAGAAGGTAAACTTTTCTGAAAGAAAGAACCTGTATCAAGTAAATTTAATTGTAATCAAAGTTACATTTTGGGCTACTTTATCTTTGCAAGACTGACTGCAAGTTCCTCCAGTTAAAAACGTCATTGACTGTATCAGACTACACGAGAAATAAGATAAAGTAGTCTGTAAATTATTATTTTACTACAGTATAAGGTCAAGGCCCCTTATTCTCCGTCTTGTTTATTAAAACATAAATGGAGTGCATCTGTCATTAAATAAGAAAATGTTTTTGAGTTCACAGAATGACTTTGTGCTAGATTGAGCTGGTATAGTATACTTAGGATATTCATTTGCTTTGTCAGTTCAATCATTTTAGATCAAAATATTGTTCCATACTTTCTTTCTCTATATTCGTTTATTGCACAGTTTTTTTACTGAAGTAAGAAAATCATCAGTGCACTGCAATTATATGGATGACTAAAAAAAAAGTCTTAGACCGTTTAGTCTGTGACCTTCACAATGAACAAATCGTTCTCAATTCACTGAATTCAATCAATAATGAAATGCTCAGCTAAAGCTGCTCTACTGATTCAAAAGAAATTTCATTTTATCTCAAGAGAAGTTACTGAGAAGTTGATTTAGTTTCAAATTAGAAAAAAATAGTTAACAGTGGATATGACATGAGATTTTGTTGTTGAAAGTAGTAGATACTTGATAGCTTCTGTAATAGTTGTCTAAGTTCATAAAGATACTTATCAAATTATATTAGCTTTGTAAAAAATTTATTAAGATTTAAATGTTTACATATCCTACTTGACGTATAAATATGTGGAAATAAGAAAGTGTGTACATACATTTATATGTACACATATGAATATGATGTCCACATATAATATCTATATAATTACAATGGGATTCACATTACATTCAAAAATTTAGACTATGCAGTGTGAGCAGATTGCCTTCTTCTGCCGTGTATTAGGCTGGAGAGGTGGGCTGACAAGAGTCTCAAGACGTTCAACAAGTAGAAGTGCTCAGGGGAAATATCAATGTATAGGAACACCTGAAGGGAGCATGCAAAGAGAACAGGTTTGTATCAGTAGTGCCCAGTGCCAAGAGCCAATGAACACAGATTAAAACACAGAAGGGGCCAGTCTAAACATCAAGAAGCTTTACTCACACTTTACTGTGTGAGTGACTGAACACTGGAATAGGTTGACCAGTGTGAAATGATCTTGAAGATGTTCAAAAGATGCCTGTATGTGGTCCTGGGCAACTTGTTCTAGGTATCTCTGCTTGAGCAGAGGGAGTAGAACAGATGACTTCCACAGGCCCCTTCAACCTTAGCCATTCTGTGATTCTAAATTTTATTCATTCTGTCTGCTTGCTCTGAAGTATTCTTAACACACAAACTAAAACATAGCATGCTATGTTATATTATCTACACAAAATCTTTTATCCACTGTAAAATTAGGAGAAAAATAAATGTGAGTAGAAAAGACAGTGTTTGCTATTACAAAACCTGAATGGCAGTCCTTGCAAATGACTGTAATGCTAACTTTATGCTGGTCAATGATCACCTAGTAGAAAAAAATCTTGCTCATGAGGTTAAAAAGACAAACAAATGTATATGGTGCTTTATACTCACTGAAAAGATGTAGATGCACAGAAAACACGCAAAATATGAACACAGCCTAAGCAGCTGGTAGCCTGGTAACTAAATAGCTGATAGCCTAAGTAAGTTCCCACTCTGTAATTTAGCAATGGTTTTAGCATCTGCCATGTTTTCTAACAATCAAGGCAATGCATACTGATTGTAAATGTGTCATGCTTTCATGTGTTGGTCATCAGTTTTCCATGTCATAACATCACGTAGTACAGTAAGAGCTGAATGCACCAGTTCTGGGTGCCTGTCCCAGAAGAGAAGAAGAACATCTTCCAGAGGACTGTTAGCTGTTCTATTACTGTTTTCCACTCAGGAAAAGATAAAAACTATTCATAGATCACGGGACCACTTTTTTCAATCTTCCAGTTAGTCTCTGTTTTGAGTGCCATATTGCCTCAGCTTACTTAGAGTAAAGTCTTTGTTTTTTGGAGACTCTCTGTTTTTATTTGATTTATTATCTTCAACTCCAATTATATTGTATTATGTTGTGTTATCTTGCATTCCAATATCTTACTTAGAAAATTAGTTTGTTTCTCCTCAGATTGTTGCCACTGTTTTGTTTTTAGGCCTATCTCCCTACCCTTTTCCCTTTTCCCCTTTCTCAGGACGTGGGTCTGTGAGTCCCCCTGCCATGTTTGTCATGGAACTGGGCTGAACCAGTCCATAAACAACTGACAAAATGAATCTTCCTTTTCACTGTGAATTTTCATATTTCATTGTCCTCTTCTAAGAGTCACAGATTTACTAACCTAGGAACATGAAAAGAAGCAGACTTTTGCAGAGATTCTTATTTAACAGCCTGAATGTAAAATGGCAAGTTAAATCTTTCTTGAAAAACTGAGAAGATTATGATGCATATTGAATTGAAACAGACATTCACTGAACTGTTGGGATCCTCAGATAGGAAATAAGAATTTGTGTGTAGAGAAGTACAAAAGAAAAGAGCAGGGCACTGAATTAGTAACAAGCCTTAATGATTCTGCTACGATAAAATGCCACAGATAGTTTACTATATGATGCATGAAAGGCAAAGCAGCAGAACTCCTGGAGGAGACTATAATCAGCCATGCAATCACATTTTGTAGGTGGTTATATGAATGCAATACATTACAAATTCTCTTGTGCAAAACACTGAACTGCTATTAAGGACTTAGTGGAATTATTAACCTAAGCCTCTCTGAGGTCATTACACAATAAATATATCCCATATGTATGGCTACAGAACAATTTTGATAACCTTTCATATGCACATACTGATTTGGTTTGGATTTTGCTATTTTCTTGAAAATGAAGGTTCAGTAAGCTAACTACTAACCTTTCTCATATTCAATTTGCAGTAATGCATAATAGTTAACACTAAATACTAAACAAAAACAACTGCTACTTGCAACGAGCACAATTTTAATTTAAAAAACACAAGACTTATTCTAGGTTTGTTTCATTATAGGACATGAAAACAAAATATTACTCTGCACATAAACTGATATCTGAATTGGCCTGCTCCCTGTTTCTTATATAAAATTAAAAAGCATAGAGCTGGAAAAATATTGCTATGAAAAAAATCCAATTTGTGAGAATACATTACCAAATGAATTCAATTACTGTAAAACCAGTGGAACTCAATATAACTGAATGAATATACATTATAACAAATATTTTTAAACATTACACTTGATTTTATCAAAGCCTTTCCACAAAACACCAATTTATCTGAAAATCTGAAACATAAATTTGCATGTGTGTGAAAGGACAAAATAGTATATGCAGTCTTCAAAAAAATTTTAACGTGCTTTATTTCTGTGAATGCTGAAGTAGAATTTCTATCATGCTTAAGCCATTTTAAATTCTATCTATATAATCAAGCAACACAGTAAATCTGTTATTGTCAATTTACTATAAATTATCTCATAAAGAAAAGAACCTCACATTTTTATGTCTTTCAATTAAAAAAACGCGAAAGGGGAATACATTTAAATATCGTCATTAACGTAAATAGGAGAATGAAAAACATGATGTTAAAACTATTTTACTGGTTTAAGATTATCTGTATTTGTCACAGAATCACAGAACCATAAAATGGCCTGGGTTGAGAAGGACCTCAACATGAGCAGGGTTGGCAACCACTAAACCAGGCTGCCCAGAGCCACATCCAGCCTGGCCCTGACTGCCTCCAGGGATGGGGCATCCACAACCTCTCCAGACAACCTGTTCCAGTGCATCACCACCCTCTGTATGAAAAACATCCTCCTACTATCTAATCCAAATCTTCCATCTCAGTTTAAAATTGTTCTCCCTTGTCCTATCACTACCCACCCATGTATAAACAGTCATTCCCCCTCCTGTTTATACTCTTCCTTCAAATACTGGAAGGACACAATGAGGTCTCCACAGAGCCTTCTCTTCTCCAAGTCCAGTTCCTTCAACATTTCCTCATAAGAGAGGTGCTCCAGCCTTCTGATCATCTTAGTGGCCCTCCTCCAGACCTGCTCCAATAGCTCCACGTCCTTGTTGTTCTGGGGGCCCTAGGACTGGATGCAGTACTCCAGATGGGACCTCAAAAGAGCTGACTAGAGGGGGACAATTATCTCCCTTTCCCTGCTGGCCACCCCTTTTTTAATGCAGCCTAGGATATAGTTGCCCTTACAGGCTTCAAGTGCACACTGCTGGCTCACGTCCAGCTTCTTGTCTGCCAGGACCCCCAAGTCCTACTCGTGCATCTTCATTTATTTTCATAGAAAATAGAAGAATAGAAGCCCATAGAAGTATCAATCTTCTTCATTTAAGATACCAAAAAAAAAAAAAAAAAAAGCAGAAGTCACAATCTGAGACAGAGTTCCCTGGTTTCCTTTATAACTGAGGAAGCAAAACAGGAACTTACAGGATATAATTCATGCTGTCCTAGCATAAGTGTCTAGAATAAGTAAGATGTATGATAATTTAAAATTATTTCTTCAGTTGATCATAAGGTGAGCTTATGAGGACAACTGACTCAGTTGTAGATGTCTATCCAGAAGTATCTGAAGTTATGTGTGATGAATCCCTCTCCCACCTCTAAATTTTAGAGTTCACATCGTATTATTTTTTGACAGGCAGCTAAAAGCAAATACTTTCATTTGATAAGCAAAAGTAATGAGTAGTGTAGGTACACTGCAAACAGCATCTTATACTATCACACAAAGAGAACCTTTTACAAACCTCATGTCTCTAATTTCATTTCAGAAAATTAGATACTCAGAATTTTGCATAATTGTATTGCTGGGATGCAGTTTGGCCCAGGTTTCTAGCTTTAGTGCATGCGGCTCCTTAATAAAAAGTGTCAGCACAATATCGTGTTACTGTAAAATGAGTTTTAAGGATCACTTTAAAAAAATAAAAAGTTCTAAGAGAAACTTAGAATCTAAACACACTTAGAATTGCAGATTTAATGCAGATTAATGTCAGAATCAAATTTCTGTTTATTTCCTGTATGAATGTAGTTGCCTTCAGTCAAAGCAGGTTTCCTGGGTCAATTTCTGGCTGAAGCAAGTTGAAAGAGCATGCAACAAACCTCATCACTGGATATTTTAGACTGACAAACTCGGTTAACTAGAACTGGCATATACAAGAAAGATGAGTCAACTGACAATTTTTCACACTGAACATACACACTGAAATGTCATGTCTATTTTTTTATGCATTTGATATGAATATTAAACAAAAGGAACAAGTATATATATAAGCATATATATACACAGAAAAACGACATCTGACATGAGTGTAAGAACTACAAGATTTTAGGGTGTGCACAATGTGTCTGTACTTACTTTAAAAGTTACCTCAAGTACAACAGGACAGAAGTTATTTACTACTGTGTGTCACAGTTATTTCATACTCCTAAGAAATGCATTTGAACTGTAAAAGAATACCCTACTCACTTGCCATTTAATGCTGCTACTCCAACAGTGCTTCTGGCAATTGACATACTTGCCACAAATGTCCACTGCTGACTTTGAGGGTCCCATCTCTCAACTGTATTCAAATAGCTCCAACCATCATGGCCTCCCACTGCATAAATAGGCCCTTCAAGCACTGTAACTCCTAAAATGAAGGAGAGAGTGAGAGAATGTAAAAATATTATTTCTCTGGAAATAATAATAATAATAATAAATGTTTTCCATAAAGCGATGCCTAAACTTGCATACTCAAGGTGAAAATGGAAACACTGATTTGAAATTTGATAAATTAAAAGTTAACATATAGGAATAAAATTAATGCCAATGAGCATGGCTTTATGAAGTTCTTGTCAAACAGACTCAAGGTCTTTTCAAACAAACCTAATTTCATTCTTTGAGAAAGTTGTTTGCTTCACAGAATTATCTGTCAATGATGTAAGCATCTTAAGATTTCTGTAAGCTTTTTAACCTGTGGCATGTAACATTCTGATCATTAATTAGCTTTTAGAATATAAGCAAATCACACAGTATGTAGACTAGCTACATGGTATATCTCAAGTATTGTCAGCCAAAGAGATATCTGTTGAATAGAATTTTCTTCTAGTGTTTCACAGCAGAGGGAAAGAATGTCTGACAACTTCAGAATGTCTGTCATTTATGTAGATGAAAATAGAGGGTTTTTTTTACTAGCAAAAGCTTAGTAGACTCGCATAGCATCAAGAAAAAAAAGCAATATTTTCAAAGACTGGAGGAAGTGACTTACAGTGAGGAACTTAAACTATTTAAACTGCATCATCAGTTTTCTTCATGAAAAGTTGCCTTTAGAAAAGAAGTGACAATGACAGAGAATGAGTGCCTTCAGAAGAAAATAATGTTGGATATGTAAGGATTCTTTCTTTATCTAGCAAAGAAGGGGTAAAGATGGTCCCAGATAACTATCATTCTGGAAATCTCAGGTTAAATCCAAACCACCCATTAGCCAATGTGACTGCACGTGACCCATTGATCTAGCCTATCCAGAACCCTCTGCAAAGCCTTCTTATGCTCAAACAGATAAACAGTCCTGACTAACTTGTTTCATCTGCAAACTCGCAGTTCATTCAAGCCTCTCAACCAGATCATTGAAAAAAATGTTAAACAAAATTGGCCCTAAGACTGAAAGCTGCAGGATGCCTCTGGTGACTGGTTTTCAACTGGATTGAGCTGCATTCACTGTAACTATTTGAGCCTGGCCATTCAGCCTGTTCTTCACCAAGTGAAGCCACAAAAAAACAGTTTTTCCAGGAGAATACTGTGGGAGATGGTGTCAAACACTACTAAAATCCAGGTAAACAACATCCACAGCCTTTCCATCATCTACTAAGTGGGTTAACTTGTCACAGAAGGAAATCAGGTTAGCCAGGCCGGATCTGCCCATGCTGTCTGCTTCTGATCATTCAGTTTTGCCTAACAGTTATACACATTCCCAAAGGCTGGACAGTGAAATTTATTGTCATCTAAAACATATTTGCTACAATTTATTATAATGACGCCACTCCAGACATTGTATGTAAAATAGTGTTCACTGACTTCTACGATGAGAACTTTGCTGGGTTTGTAAAATGCATGTAAAGCATGCATGTAAAGTCATTCCCAGTGTCTATTACTTTGCATTTTTCACTTGCTCTTATGTAATCAATTCATTTTTTTTGTTATTATTATTTCATTAAAGTATTCTTTTAATTCACTCAGTCTTACTGAATAACTAATATATATTTTTCTGTCATTATATTCAATTTCATTTCCCTGAAGGCTAACTTTATAGTGACAGAGGGCGGTGTTGTAGTTAGAAAACTGACAAAATAAAAATGCTATTTTAATGTGAGATCCATGTCCTGCTTCTCTGCAAAAAAGTGTGAATATAGTTAATGTCACATGACTGAGAAATCTGAAAGTTTATTTTCCTTGGGAAACTTTATGTGATGCAATAAGAGATTGTCTATTTGGTTTTGCCAGTTTTCATTGCTTCCATAATAGGAGAAATTACTTGCAAAACTATAGGCAATTCATTCTTCTCACACAAATGAAGACAAAGCTTCTGAACAAAATCTTCTCTGTTTTTGTTTTATAGCATTCATGAACTTTCTATGGGTTTTCCCATTTTAAGTCTCTTCTTTACAGAACATCAAAAGCAGTGGTATCCTTACATTTGCTCCTTAACAACTTGTTCAAGCTTACTATATTTTAAAATATTAGACAAATAGGTTCTGCAAGGTCAGATTTCATTCTGTTTTGGTACAGTTATGTCTGTACTATCTGTGAGAACAAATAATCACTTTGGAATACATTCATGTTCAAAGTACAGATCACTAATAAGCAAATAAAAAATAACAAAAGTGCTGCATTCCATGAAAGTCTCATTACATCTATCTTCAATGTCTTGTGCACTTTTAAATTTTGCTTTCATATCTGAAGATATTTGGAAGTGAAATTGCAAAGTAGAACAGCCATAGAAGCCTGGAGTTGCAGCTGGTAGTACTTACTCTAATGGTACATCCATGAGAATTAATGGATGAAGATGTGTGTGTAAAGAATGTAAACCATATGGAGAGACTCTTAAAGAATTAGACATAAAACATCAAAAATCTAGAAAACCTGGAAATTCCATGAGATACAGGGTTTATCAGCTTTTTTTTTTTTTTTTTTTTTTTTTCCCAAGAAGTAATCAGAATGTAAGTATTTGCATTTAAAAAAAAAAAAAAAATGATTTAGAGTCTTATTACTACCAGTGTAAGATATGGAAACAGCAATCTGTCAAATTCAGGATAAGGACAATAGTCCAAATTTTAACCAAAGAAGATAAGTGAATATTAGAATTGTGAAATCAGGAATGTGCTAGTTTCCCCATTGCTTGAAATTTTTGTATTTTAGAAAGATACTGAAAATCATTGTGAAGTCACATCCTCAAGGTAGAAATGATTGCATGAAATTTAGCAGTGCTCTTGTAAAAAATTTCACCTACATGATCACAGAAGTAGCTACAGGTCATGTAAATTTATGATTCACTAAATTTGGACATTAAATATCACAGTCCAACTGTGGTACAGACTATATCACGTGATGGGGAATAATGAACAACTCTGAAGTCTGATTCAGACAAACTTGTTGAATCACTAATTGCAGGAGGCCAAGGGATGAACAAAATGTAAGATATAACACATAATCTAATATATAATGACAAAGAAAGTGAGATACTTTGCAGGACAAGCATCTCTATGGGGGAAAAAAAAAACAACAACAAACCACAAAAAACCTAGACCTTTGTGTAAATCTAATTGCATAATATTCTTCTTTCTTGTTCTTCAATAATAAATACAGTGTTTCTCTTCTACCATTCAAACATTCACTCTCCTTTCCACTCCAGTGGGCTTATAAACTAATAATTCTCCTTATCTTCTATCCATTCTCCATCTATTTACTTAACACAGATTGAAAAGCAGAAGCAATTTGGTGTAGGGAGCACAAAATGTCACCAACTCATTAGTATTTACATATATCAGACAACTTCTGGCAATTTTACCTGTCAAATAACCACAGATTAGTTGAATATTCTTTTTTGGTCACCTGTACATCTTTCCAAAGAATTAAGGCAGAGGTATACTAGAACAAATCAAGTAGTTTCTTCTGCACAAAACAAAACAAACAAACGAAAAAAGTAATGATGGTAAAGTCTAACTTGTTTTATCTTATACACTGGATAATTAAATGTGAAATTTCATTTTTGCAGCCATAATTTTAACTGAGTTTGAAATACCATTATAATTCTTGGGATATTGCATCTAGGACAGCCTTAGCTTAAACTTGGAATTTAGGATGTGATGAAAGGGAGAATTAGACCTGACCTACCTTCCTCAGTGAATATTTAGTGACATACTGTAGAAAATACCTGTTCTTATATATATTCAGAGGCTGGTATCAAAGCTGATTGAAAGAGTTATGAAAATACCCTTGCACTCTAGGGCCCAACAATATTACACTGGCATGTTTATATAATGCAGATTTATAGAAATAAAATCTGCCTGCAGCTTATTTACATTTAGTATTGTAGATGAGATACCAGATTCTGAACTCTGCTACAGTATTATCTGGAGAACTTGACTCAAATCATTAGATGTGTTGCCATTATGATTTGTCGCTCCTCAGTGAATCGGGTCATGATGCATGGGTGCAAAGTGCAATGACAAATAATTTTATAATTCAGAAAAAAAATATCTCTGTATGCTCCTCATAATTGGGAGAAAAAAGTCCAAAGCAAAATCTAATATACATGCAAATCTAATATACATGCAAATAATTATTGTGAAGAAAATACTTTAAATGCTCAGGTCTTCTGTCAAGAAAGCTGGAATTACATATTTCCCTTGATATTTCAACATTAAGGAAACAATAATTTAATGACATAGAGGTGCACGTTTCTATTTTATAATGCATAAAAGAAAGATTTTCAAACTAACCTTTAGCTAGCTGCTTCTTGAATGGCAAATAATATAGGTATGTCAGAGCATTGTACTAAGCAAGTCTGTTGCAAAAATATTCCTCTCTATTTAATGCTTAGGAAGTTGTAATTTCTTCTGAGAACTCAAGTTCTTTTATTTAGATTTTATATATTTTACTTTATTTTCTATCTGTGATTTTGCACAATTTCAGCGTATCAGCACACACTGAGCAAGATTACACATACTGATCATAGTACTGCTTTGTGAGATGCAAATGTACCTGAAGAGACTTACCAGTGCAGAAAAGTTAGATGCTTCCAACAAGACACTGACTCAAAGATCTTTTTGGGGGATATATGGCATGACTCTTTGCTTGAGTTATTTCATTTTAATTCCAGTCATACTGTTTAAAATGAATCCTAGTGAATAATCTTTTTTGAAACTGTTTCTTCTTGTTACATAAATAACAAAGCAGTGGACATTTTTTTTTTACTGTCATGAACAACATCTTTTATACATGAATGTGCTCTTCCCAACCGAAAGCGTTAAGTTTTTATGACTGCCAATTTACAAAGGTCTAAGAGTACTTTAGACTTTTCATGAAAGAGATATACTGTAAATCTGACATGTACCAGACTCACAGCTCTGTTGATTTAAGCTTGATTTGAAC